GTGTCTGCATAATATTTCTATGGAGTGGGGAGATAAGCATATCAGTGTATTTAATTAGGATCAAGTGTTTCATCCAAGATTTTGTAAAGCATTATCAAACAATAAAATAGTACATTATTCTTTTTTAAACTTATGATAATTGTTAACTTTGATTATTTGCTCCTTTTCTCTTCATGTCAGCTGATACGTGGGATTCAAAGAAGGACAATACAGTTCTCTATCTGTTGTGTGCTGCCTTGGCTTTAAGTCTGCTTGTGATTGCTTTTGTCATTTTTTCAAACAAGAAATTCGAGCAAGAATCATGCGTGTATTGTAACGGTAAGCAAAGTCACTCATACATCAATGTGTCAAACAGTGGATGGCAAAACTGGATTCACATTTATATTGTGTTTTTATGTCACAATACAGCTGCTGTTGCTCAGCAAACAAATGCAGCAGCCAGTGGGATTCAGGAGAATCTGCAGGTATTTATAAAGAAAAAATATGGACGCTAGTTATCAAAATGTTTTAATGTAACATCTGCAGCATCAACATTTTCTCTGTTTCCTCAGACAGATGAGGACTCTTTGGTTTATTCTGTTGCAACTTTCATCAGTAAAAAAAGCTACTAAAACACAGACAAGGGAGACAAAACCTACAAAGGAGGAGAGCATCTACACTGATGTCAAGACTCTTGGAGTAACATCTTGACACTGGGTTAGCTTTACTATGATTTTGTCTGCACACTGTAGAAAAAGTACTTTTTAATCTTTTGAATAAAAACAGTTTTACATATCTGTTTGACATTTTATTTACATGCAAAGAAAAAGATTCATGATGCAACATAGTTGAATCAGTTTAGATGTTGCAGTAGACAGAAGTACAACAGATCCTATAACTATGAGGAACTTTTGTCTAAGGTGTACATTGTGAGAATATTTTCCTAAATATCTTTATGTACAGTTTATGTATATGTGTGTATTTCTTCATGACTCACATCTATATCTCACAGCCATGTCAAGGCAATGAAATAAAAGGAAACGATGGCTCTGTAGAAGTGTTGCTTTCTTCTTAATAGGCAAATATATCATCCATCCATTATCTATACACCACTTATTCCTCACTAGGGTCAACAGGGGCTAGAGTCTATTCCTGCTGATTGAGGGTGAAGGCAGGAGACACCTTGGACAGGTCACCAGTCTATCACAGGGCATCATATGGAGACAACCAAGCACACTGACATTCACACCTACGAACAGTTTAGAATCACCAATTAACCGCAACATCTTCTTGGACTGTGTGGGAGGAAGCTGGAGAACCCGGTGAGAATCCACGGGGAGAACATGCAAACTTGATGCAGGCATCCTACTCGGGACTCGAACCAGGGATCTTTTCGCTGTGAAGCTGCTAACCACAGACCACAGGGCAGCCGAAAATATTGATCAACCTTAATTTAAAGTTGGAGCTACACTGAATTACAGACCGCATTTACATTATGGCTCAACAATATGTATTGTAATGATATAATATCATGTCAAATATTAAACCTATAATGAAATCAAAACTAAAACTTTATAGAAAATGATATGAATAAATCTTAATGTACCTATTGTTTCTTAAAAGTTCTGTGTTGTTACGTTCCTTTACACTGATGTAGATATTTTTTCTGCTCAGTTTAACAATGAGAGACTGACCTGAAATCTTGTTTAATGACTTCAGACAACACATGATAAATTAGGCCCTGATAGAACATGCAAACTTAGCCCAGAAAGACTTGAGCTGAGATTTAAACCAGGACCTTCAAAGTGTGAGGCAACAGTGTAGTATTTACAGTAGAACACAATGAGAAGCAGTAGAACACAATGTTCTTGTTTGTTGTCGGACACCACAAACAAGAACATGTGCATTCCATGTTCTACTTGATAGTAGGCAGTAAATTCAGACTCTGTCACAGACTTCATTAACACCGACTTTCCAGTCGTCTTGCCCAACGCCACCTTCATAGCCAACCAACCACCAGCCTGTTAATTCCCTACCAGCTCCAAAGTTAGCCAGATTTTGGTCTGCTAGATCCCAACTAACAACACAGGTGGAGAAGGCCTGATTAGCTTTCAACCTGCCAGCTTCCCCCAAGATACCACCTCTGGTGCTGCCATGGAGTGTCCTTTTTGTTGAACCTGCTGTAAAGTCATACAGCCATAACTTTATCAGAAAAAAAGTCTCTGACATGGTTGAGGCTCTCAGTCACCCCCCATCTCCATCTAATCCAGCTCGCTGTCGTCCTTCCAGCAAGACAAAGCTCTTGGACCGGACAGCCCTTCTATTGCAAATCCCTTGTTATCCCTAGCTTCAGCGTCACTGAGTCAACGCATTTCACTATGCATTATACCATGTATAACTGTTTGTGACCAACAAAGACCTTGAATCCTCACCAGCATAATAACCTACAGCCAGCTTCAGAATCAGCAAGCCTCAAAATTGCAAGGTTCCAGTCTATTTTCCAGCAAGTCTGCACTACACCAGTCAGTTTACTGCTAGATCCTGCCCCTCAAGAGTCACTGAAGAGACCTCCACCTAAAAGCTTTAGCAGAAGGAAGAATGTCTCTTGCTGAAGTCACCTAGGCCTCATCTGTCATGGTTCACTCTGGGGTCAAGCTAGACTTTTGTTTCTGTCATCTTCCTGTTTCTGTTGGACACCTTTATTTTTGTTGTCTTGTTTTTATGTTTGTCAGCTCGACTTCCTGTTGTCTTTATTGTTAGCTCTGCCCTAATTGTGTCCACCTGTTTCCCATTGCCTCACATGTGCATTTAATGTTTGAGTCTCCCTTTGTCCTGTGCCATGTTCATGTATCGTCCCTGTGCTGTCTTTTATAGTTCCAAGCTAAGTGATCTTAAAATCTTCTTTCTTTATTTTGATACTTTGTTCTCCAGCTTTGCTGTGATTTTTTGTTGCTCATTACTATCTCTAGATTTGCTGTGACTTTTTTGTTTAGCGACCTACAGTGAGGTTTTCTTGCTCAACTGAATTTTTGTGTTGCGTTTTGCATATTTTTGTGAATAAACTCTTTTGTTGGTTTCCACTCTCAAGTCCTGCATTTGGGTCTGATACTGAGTCTTGTCATCATCATCCTTCGGGCTGTGGAGGATCTGCTGCAGAGTGCCGGGGAGGTCCTGGTCAACCAGTGCTGCTCCCTGGCAGATTCCTCATCTGTATTCCTCATCTGTCCCTGCATCTCAGAGGTTCACCGATGCCTCTTCTCTTCCTATGTCTGAGAGGGTCGCCAAACCAATGTCATGCTCAGGGAACTGCCAGAGTCAGCTGACGTCTTGTCAGGGCCTCCACCTCCAGCTCTGTTTAGTGCAGATTTTTTGTTTTGTTTCTTTCCCGCTCTGTGTCTTTGC